TTTCCAATATTGTATGAAGACATGCAGGTATGTTGGTCTGCAAATGAGTTCTGGACAAAGTATTTTATAGGACGATAGATGCTCTGATCCAATTAGCAAGACTGGTTAAAATTCAATGCTTCTTTTGTAGAGCTTGCAACATTTTGCCACGCATTAGGGCATAGATCCCATCTTAGTGAATTTATTTGAATAAGCCAAAATAAAACAAGACAGATAACAGGAAATTCAACAACAAAAAAGTGATCAGGCGGCTGGGAGAATGGGAATTTGGTATGATAATCAGACCTAATTAAGGCTAGGCTCTACTTAAAATCCGCAATCCAGTCTATTTATATAGAACACTAATAAATATACATAAAAAATATAAGCTTGCACTGTTTAATTCAATACTGTCAATACGGGCGAAACAAGATTTTAGCCTTCATTTTTAAAAATAATGCTACTAACCAGTCATAAAATCAAGGGAACAATGTAGGGAAGGCAACAGTAAAAACAAAAAAATCTTTTCTAAACTGCCTAATTTAAGGATTAACGAATCGATTTAATTAATAGACAAAGCAGCAGCTAAAGAATACATATTAGCAAGAAAGCTGAACTTGCATTGATTACGAATGCAGAAAATGTGCTTAAATCCTAGACTGCTCAATTAGAACGCTTATCAAATATTACATAAATGTTAAGGATTTTGAGCGTAATCAAATGAAAATAATATGATAGATAAGGAATTACATAAAAATCAAGCATGAATATGAATGAGTAGAGAAATAACGTCAATAAAACTTGAAATATTGTTTATGTTATAAAAAGAAGCCACGTTCAAGAAATATAGGATTTTGTAGCAACATAAGCAAGCATAAGAAAAGTTCCCAAGAGATAAAATTATATTACTATATTATATCGTTATATGACTAACAGTCCAAAGAGTCCAGACAATGCGCATTGTCAAAAGGCCGATCAGGTGGCCGATTGCAGAGCTGTCCACCGGTTCTCAAAACGGGCTAGAAGGTTAAATGGAAAAGATAGAGAAGTGGAATATTAGCCAAATAGCTAGTCTTTGACGAAAATTCACATGCGCTGAGTGAGTAATTCTGTTATAAAATCTGGAATAATTGAATATAATACTTTAATGTCTCTAAAAAAACGCTAAAATTAATGAGGCGCCTATATTCAAATTTAACATTAAAATACGTATAAGAAGACATTAAATAATGTGCAGTGCGACGGGATTTGAATAAGCAATTGACCTTAATAATTGAACTACATACATGAAAGTATTAGTTTGACCCCGGTTTTGCACATAGATCAGAGCGACATGATTACCTTATGGAACGTACATATTCCTGCGTCCTCTGTCATAACTTACATGATAATTTCAGGCATCAGACCGCTAGCTCAGTATATTTTTAGATGTTTCGCTCGCATCGTCAATGATAGGCACCATCTTCAACCGTTTTGGCAACCCTCCTCGGCCATATTTTTGTCCTAGCTTACAGTGGTGAATCTTGCCCCCATTTACCTATTCAAACCATTTTGTGTTCCCATTTCCTTTAATGTACCAAATAGGAGGATTTAAAGACCGATTATTCTCATTCCCAGACATAGTCTCCACCCTAGGCTTTAGACCTATCACATAGATATCCTCGTTCTTGTCGCCACTCCATTCTCCATTATTTTCTAGGGCAATGTATCTGACTTGATTCGAAAATCGCTGATGTGAAGATGGATCACTGGCGTAAAGCCCATTCCTATTGTCTCTCAATATGACAGCTCTACCATTTTCAGATCAGCAATTCAGAAGCAAGCCAGAAAAAAGGCCCCAGAGAATGAGATATAATGGAGTAGGGAAGAGAAGTATGATAACTGGACCATGGGTCTTAAGCCTAGGCCAAAGAAGATGCCTCGGCGTAAGAATCACTGGCTTTAAATCCTCGAATAATGCACTCTTAGGCGAAATTAGAGGAGACAAGAACACAGAATGGTGTGAATAGATAAATGGACCATAATAAGTGGGGTTGAGAGAACGAGACTGACCACTGGAAACTATGACGAAAAAAACAGAGGCAAGAAGTGAGGCCACAACAGTTGAACATAAAATTGATCAAAGGAATAGCCTTCATCTGTAAGTTGTAAAGGTTGCTAAAGATGGAACCTGCCAATGAAGATGCCGGCGAAACTCTGGAAATGCACCAAGTCAACGGTCTGATACGGAAAATTATCAAGAATGTTATGGCAGAGGACGCAGGACCTTTCCACAAGGTCTCCCTGTCGCTCCGATCAAGTTGCGACAAGATCAAATCCGCCGTCGACTTATGGTGGAACCGACCTTCGAATCTCTTCACCAAACACTTTAACTCGAAATGAAAGTAAGCTTAAAAGGATACTTTCGTCGATGCCATTAAGATTCTCAAAAGGGGAATAACAAAAAATCGAATATTATCTTGCTAACTGAGATCAAAATAGATATAAAATATTTTTTCTACAGAAATATAGAAATTCCCACATTGTAAAGGCAACCCATTACGATCAGAAACTGCTAAAGTAACTTAAGTGTTTCAAATTAGTCAAACAGCTCAACAGTCTGTAGAGTTACAATGAGATAATCTAAACTACCAGATATACAGAAATTGTTTGACCTTGTCTTCGCAACTTGATTATATTGGTAGGAAGACTTAGAGAAACGCACCTAGTCTGAAGCCCAGTGTATGCAGACAATTTGTCAAAGGATTGACTTTACATGTCTCTTTGACGAGTTGTAGTATAGTGCTAGGAATGACAAGACTCACTGACGATGCCGGCGAAACGTCTGGGAATGTACTAAATCCACGGTCATACTTTGGAAATTATTTTGCATACAATGGATTCCGGACTAAGTGCATTCCTCTAAGTTTTCCTACCAATATAACCAAGTTCCAAAAACAAGGTCAAACAACTTAAATACAACGAAAAAAAACTGCGACGACACAAAAGGCCACACCATCTTGGTCTTCATACCAGATATATATTTATTAATTAAAGTAATGATAAGTTTATACAAGTAAAATAAATAAATGATAGTGAAAAAATCGGATAAATAACACACCCCACCAACACCACCTCCACAGGCTAAGGTATCAGGAAGTCTAGGATGAAGCAAAGACACATCCTCCAGCTGAGAGACAGTTGGGCCCAGATGCATAGCGCAGACAGGAGGCTGGGCACGATGCTCGTCACAGGACGTAGTTGACTTGGTGACAAGGCAAGAAGATAGTTTGATATTCGGATGTTCTAGAACATTTGGTAATCGTGGCTCCGCAATATCATTCAAGTGGTTTGCAGAAGCCCGCCGTCGGCAATGCAGATGAGCGCGTGTGTGATGATTATCCAGAGGAAAGACATTTTTGGTGACATATGACGATAGACAGCAACAAGGCCTCTGAACTTCAAGGATAGGCCGATTAACCAAGTTATTATCCTTATTAAGCTCCCTCTTGTCACCCATCTCTTGTACGGCCATGAAGCCTAGGTCTTTAGAAGTCGTGATTTTTTCATCTTTCTCT